TATGTGTCTATATATATATATATATATATTTGTATGTGTGTGTGTGTGTGTGTGTGTCATTTTATCTATACAAAAAGGTGTATTCAATTTCTTAAGTGTTAAAATAATGATAACTTTCATCTAATATGTAAAATTTTGGTGTTATATATACAAATATATGTTAAAAAAATGTCTGTAAGGATCTTGATGAGATCCTACAGTAGTGAAGTCCATGAGGACCAAAGCTGAACAAAAGAACATAAGAGTCGCAAAAGCCGACCGAAGGTCACTTTGAGCTAATAATCTACGATCAACTAAACACCATGAAAGGACAATCGAGTCCATAAGCTTCCCTACCTCAGCCGACCTAACACCTCAGCCCGCTGCCCTCCTCAGTCGAATTTCATGTACTACGCATTTTTAGAATGGGTAATATTATAATTTTACTTTTTGTCATTCTATCTTCTTTACATAGAAGGACACTTTCATATATTAAGGGTTTCTGTCTCTTCTCTCTTGTAAAGAGATTTCTCTCTCTCTCTTTTTCTCTTTTATTTTATTTTTTCATATATAAAATAGGAACAGAACCACCCGAATACTTTAGTGCCCCCCTACAGGTGTGTGTGTGTGCTCTTTTATTTATTTCTATCTCTCTCTCTTCACACTTCTCCTTAAAGATTCTTACCACTATGATCCCCGGATAAATTTAGATTCAACAATATATACATAGGAATTTGGTGGTATGCATATAAATGACCCTTTATTACTTTGTCCCTCGTAATATACATCATAATGGAAAATTTATAGGCATAAGTATCTTTAAAATATGATATATATTTTCTTCAACTAACTCCAAATATTTTTAATATAGCTAAGATCAAGAATATATTAACCAAAAAAACGTGTTTTTAAATTTTGAGTCTTTCATCATATGCATATGATTCTACCACCTGCCACATCATTTTTCCATTACAATCATTAAGAACTGGGAGCAAAATAAATAAGAAAAAATGGTTTAAAAAATAAATAAATAAATAAATAATAATAATAATAATAAATACTCTGTGCTGTTTGAGAGGAGCAGGCCGGAATTCTGCCGACACGTCGGTCAAGAACCGGCACAGACAAAGCCAAATGGTGAACGGAACAATGAGGAATGCCCACGTGGTCAAATATTCTACATAATTTAGGTGGGCCCATTTCCACATCCTGATTACGGGACGGACCTGACTGCTGGAAATTACTGGACGTCGGCAGTTGTCACTTCCAACTTTTTCCGCAATAAAAATATGAAACATTTACAGGTAGACCACGCATTTCTTGTAAATTTACAAATGTAAATTTAAAATTTTAGTTTTTATAATCTTGCTTGAAAGTGAAATATATATTTCACCTTCATTTTTTAGCTAGTAAGAGCTTCTTTTTTTTCTGTGATATGAGATATTTAAATATTATAAATATAAAAATACAAATTTAGATGTCAAGTGTTTGGATATATAAAAATTATACAACTTGTACATATAACTATTTTTTTTATCGATATATATATATATATATATTTGGTACACATCATCTTAACATTCTAATTTCCATAATTCACTATTTTTACTACCCAATGCTTGGATTCACACAGCATATTGGATCTAATTATTTTTTTTCCTACTTTTTGATGTCATGTCTTCATGAAATTCTCATATCACACAACGCTCTTGAAGTTTCTTTTTTTAACATACTACTAAAACACTTTGCATTACATTAACAAGACTTTCTCCAATTTTTTTCCAAGTTAGAAGCATCTTTTCATCCATATTATAATAAAAAGAGGAAATATCAATTGCTAAATAAAAGATTGGTAACAAGGATTACAATATATAACCTTGACGGTTGAGGTCAATGCATTACATTAACAAGACTTTCTCCAATTTTTTTCCAAGTTAGAAGCATCTTTTCATCCATATTATAATAAAAAGAGGAAATATCAATTGCTAAATAAAAGATTGGTAACAAGGATTACAATATATAACCTTGACGGTTGAGGTCAATGGCACTAACACACTATTGTGGTGAAGCATCACTATAATAGGCATTCCAATGAATTATTATAGTCATCAAAATTATCATTATCATTACATGAAATATTCTTTGATGGCATTATTAATCCACCTTATCCATTCATTACAGAAAAATATATATTTATAGAGAAATATTCAATTAGGAAGCAAATTTTGTAGCCCAAAAAGGCAGACATCAATTTAGTGACATCAACAATTCATTATAGATTTTCAAATACTAATGAGGTCAATATCATTTCTATTCTATAACTATCCCACAAGAACTATGCATTTAAACAATAGACGGCATCACCCTTTATTCTACTTTGTACTTCTTAATTCCCTCCTAACTCTCTCTCAATATAAGGTACTATAAAAGTAGGTGAATCCCAAAGTAATTTCAATATAATTTATTACCCATACAAAACAAATAATCTTCGAGAAGTTGGGAATTAGAGCAAAATTAAAAGTGGCTAAACCCTAACAACATCGTGAAAACAATAAACATAGCCCCACCATGCCCCTAAAGTAATTTGTATATGCTCTATAATAATGGAAAATAGTTTTTGAGATTGTCCAAACCAACTAGTTTATAGAAAAGTTAAAGTGATTTAAAAGCGTTCAATGAAAATGAAAAAAAAAAAAAAAACAGTTTCCACTTGTACCTTATTCTCAAACATTGCAGTAAAACGCTCATCCTTCAAAATCTCAGTTGTCAAGCCTCTATTTTTCTTTGAAGATTTTTTTTTTGTATTAGGGCCATCTGCCACTGTAACCTCACCTTCTGCTTCCTGATTTTCAAGAAGTTTGGCAGCAAGTAAACGGTTTACTTTGGGCAACTTCCTTTTAATCTGTAAAATTAAATTTATGAGCAATTTCTAAATATAAATAATGTGAAGCAAAACAGCATGAAAACAAAAATTTTAAGTTACCGTAATACGAGAAGCGCGGTCAGCCTCTATCTTTTCCTGTTTCTTTTTCTCTATATAAGCTTCATAAGCAAATGGATCTGCAATAGCTTGGGCCTGCAAAATATAAATGATTCAATTCCTATCATAAGTTCATAATATTGTTGTAAACTTACAATAAATTATTTAGAAACTCAAAGGTATATATAGAGGCTTCTCAAATCCATTTAAGATATTTACAAATTAACAAAATATGATATATGACAGGAATTTTATTGCACCGTAATTTTGAAAAATAAATAATGATAATGTCTATTACAAGGATACTTACAATTAATAGGAATAATATTTATCAAGGAGGTGCAAGGTAACATTTAAACAAATAACTGTAAAAGAAATAATAACTCAAAAAACAAAAAGAGCAAACATGGCAACGACAATAAATTGTAGAGATATAACTCCATCATACGTACACAAAAAAATGCAAGAAAATAAATTTGCAACCCAAAAAAAAAAAAATCACAGAAATATATATATATACACACACACATACATCTATGGGAAATGTTAGTGTTTGTTCGTATTTTTTTGAAGTACATAGAAATAGGGTTGTCAAAAAAGGCAGCTCATATTTGAATCATTTGTTAATATTATTTGTGTGGTATTATATTATATATATTTGTATTTGATGTGTGCTATAAGACTCATGGTGATCATCACGAACTCAAATGAAAGAAAATAATCAATAGAGACACCATAAATTTTATGGGAAAATCCTAAAAGGGAAAAACCACAGGGCGTGACCTAAATGAAATAATTCATTATGAATTGTTGATTACACAACCATGTTCTTATCTCAAAGACAGGAGAGAGTTGCACAGCTTCTCAATATAGAATCTCTGTCGTGCAATGGTCAGGGGTGATTGCAGTTCGTAACATTTGTTGGGAATCCAGTAATTCGTCTTTGAGGTATGCTGGTATATGATGTTCACAATGACGTGTGGCTCTGTGAAGTGCTTCAACGTTGTACAACGTAGGTTGAGATACTGTAGCGTGCACTATGATTCTGCTAGAGGCATCGTCATGAGAAGCAATTGGTAGCTGATGGTGGTCGGCGACAGACGGTGATTGGTTGTCGGCGACGGCTGGTGATTGGACGTCGGTGGCGATCGACTACTCTAGGAGCAAGAAGCGAAAAGCTTTCGTCGAATTGTTGGTGTAGAATACGAGATTTCAACCCCCTCTTCTCCATGCTATGGGCTTCCGCTGACTCGTGGTCTAGTCCCCCACCTAAGAGGAGGGTATGAATCTATTTATAGTATTCAAATTACAATAAGAAAGAAATTATAATCACTCTAATCAGACGACCCTTAGAGATTCCTCAATTGAATAGTGTTTTGTGGACAATTGAGTGTTTTAAGGATGTCATACTTGATTGATCTTGCGCTCGTTAGATTCATCTTGTCAAGAAACTTGATTTGAATATAATCTTGTCAAATTAAAAATTTGTTTGACGTTGGAATTATGCACTGAAAGCTCTCAAAAGTGGTTTAACAGCTTGATCCGAGCTTAATTTAACTCGGATTGGACAAACTTTGGTTTTATTGGGTTTGTCTCATCAAGCCTGCCAGTTAACCTCAAGTTTGCATAAATCAAAATTCTGGATGACTTTTAATAAAAGTTTGAAAATTTCTTACACAAAAAATTACCTCGAAATTCATATCAGATCTTGAGATTCATGTAAGATTATGAGAATTTGTTGATGGTGTATCAATTTCTATGTTTAAATCACCGTGTTTAAATCACCGTCTGATTTTGGTTTTTTTTTTTATGCCATAGAATGGTGCAGGTTCGAATCCAACTATCTACATCTATTTTGTAATTAGTTTAAATGAGTTAATTTTGAAATGAACATGATCCAAACAAGAATATGTAAATCAAGTCTAAAGCAAACACACTATTCACTAGCAAATTTGAACATGTGCCAATTTCCAATAAAATTAATTCAAACGAACTGAATACCGGCTAAGTCTAAACTCGCTCAACCTTGGCTCGCTTACAATGAAAGGTGACGGATATCAAATGTCGTTTCCCATTGGGCTGTCTCAAAATACTCACTTAAAAGCTTATTAAATACATAATTATTCATTAGAAAATAAAGGCCAATTATTACATATAATTTCTACCAAGCAACAGAATGAATTAGTCTTTATTTCATCAATAAGTTAAATATGAAAGTGCACTTTCATGATGCCATTTGGTGATTCAAAAAGGGCCGAAAACTAAGGTCTTCACTTATATCTTCTTTATTTACTTCATTTTATTTTTTGTGTAGGAATCGTTTTATTGGAAATCATATAGTAAGTGTAGGTGAGGAGAGGACAATGGGGTTTGGGGACTGCTTTCCACATCGGCATTCTTTGCCTGATTTTTTTTCCTTTTTTTAAGCAATTCACTCTTGGAAGAATTTGTCTGTTCGAGGCTTCCCAATCATCTTAATTCTTCTGTGTTTGATTTTTAGGATTGTGAGTCAGCATTTATTTTATTTATGTTTGATATTAAGGAATGTTGCATGTATGGTAGGCAGCCTTTTGTCTTATAAATTGGATCTTTTAAATGATTTTATTTTTTATTTTTTATTTTTTATTGTCTTATTTTAAATTAAACAATAAAATAAAGATGTCTCTCCATGTATGTATGTATATAAACATTATAATAAGTTTTTAGTTTTTATAATATAATTCTTTTTTATTTGATGTATTTGTATAAAAACAAAAGAAAATAAAACACGTAAGAAAATATCAAGAATTTTATGTGTTCATCTAATTGATCACTACTTTTAGTTTTTGTCCTTACAATTTCAATAGTGTTGACAATGTTAAAATTTTACACGAGAAATACAATGACTAAACGAACTATTTAACTTCTTTTTAATCCTTCTTCTATGAACCCTATTAATGGTGTACATTTTATAATGAAATTCTACTTCAAATTAAACTGAAATGTAAAATTGTTCACATGAATATTGTATAGCTCAAATCCATAGGAGAAAAAGACATGTCATCCTCTTCCAATGATATGATTGTACATATCAATTTGTTTTTTGTCTGTGCATAGGATATTTTCTTATAGAGTGTTACTTATACTACAAAACTTATCATTTTGAATAATAATCTTTTTTGAAAAGTAAGAAAATTTGAACTATATTTGTCATCCAATTCCTTTTTTTTTCTCATATTTCATGAATGGCTATGCTCTTTATAAAAATAAAAATATTTAGATCCATATATTAATTTTAGTCAACAATATTGATATTGTGATCCTCTTTCAAGGAAAATAATTTTTATTTAACATATTAAAGTCAATTTATAAAATTATAAATTCTAAAAAGAATAATAGAGCCCAAAACTAAAAAAAATGCATGAAATAATAAGTTAAAAAATAAATAAATCTCTCACTTAAGAGGATTATATTTGTCTTAATACTGGGAAGAAAATCTAGTGGATATTACTGTTTTAAAGTTTTGACTATTCTAACCCATTTAATATCATGTCTAAATAAGATAAAATAAGTCAAAGTTGTATAGTTAATTATCATTCTTTGATATGGTAAAATTAGAAATAATATTTTAACAAGACGGATTTATAATCAACATCACACATCTTGTTGGCTAAGAATTTTTTATCTAAGGGCAACAACTCTATTATGACGATTGATAGTATCTAGTGGAAATTGCAATCAAGAACTAAATTGAACATTGTCCAACAAATAGATGAGGAATTCTTTCATCAACAATAGTGTTGCCAATCGCAGCACCTTTAGAAGAATTTATATTTGTCATCCTCGGTATTGGCATTAATAATAAAGCATTGTTCTCCACCTACATCACCTATGTTTGCACATGTACCTCGTTAGAAGAAAGCAAAAAGAGCATATGTGCTCAACTCTAGTAACAAAGGGAATTGCAACGAAGTTGAATGATTCTTAATAATAATAACTTGCATAAGAGATGAAACCTTATATGCATTAAAATTTTTAGCATTTTTATACAAAGAAAGTGCGTGGAAAAGAACGTGACAATGAGAACAAATGATAAAGCTTTTCTAAGAGAAACTTTTACCAATCAATTTGTATTTCTATCACTAATTTAATTGCTCTCTTCATACCTTGAATAATTTCAATCTCTATTAGAAGCTTGGCTTCAATGGTTCTAATAATATATGGCATTAGAATATACACACTAATAAAGAACCAATTTTTGAGTTTGAAAAAGAAGAAGAAGAAGAAAAACCGACTTATCGAAGAGATAAGTTGTGGGCAAAGATAATTTTATTTACTTTAAAATAAAAGAGCAACAATAAAAAAAATAAATCACAAACATATGCAAATCAAGAAACTTACATATCTACTTTGAAAATCTTAGATAATAAAAACCATCAAACAAATGAAAAGAATTTACTATATCAAATATAAAAGGAGTCAGAGTGGAATTTAACGGCTATACTTGGTTTTGGGGCAATTAAGTATCTTGAGATATTTCTGTTGAGAGACTTAAGTTGCATATACTCGGTTTTGGGCTGAGCACCTGAAGGCCCAGTTAGTCTGTTCAATTGTATAGTTTATATTGGGCTTTGTTTTATTTGATAACTGTCTTGGTTCTTGTGCAATTTTAAATTAAATATAACTTCAATTTAATTCAAGTAAATAAAATCAAAATTCTCATCCCACTGTTCTGCCGATTTTTCTTATTCATTATTATTTCGATCACAAATGCAGAGTATCCATGCTATTTTCTGAAATTATATATATATATATATAT